GAGGGAACTTACTGGGGCCTGAAAAACTACCAAAGTTGAAATTCTATTCCTTCACTTTTGTAAAGTCTCATTTATAGATAATTGGATGATATGTTTCATTGGTTCACTCATTCATTCAACAAATCCTGACTGAGGATTGGTCATGGGCCAAGCATAAGTCCGGCAGAACGTCAGTAGGAGAGCAGAGATTCTTAAGGGAAATGAGGTGGTGGCTATAGTTTTAAAAAGCATGTTGGATTTCTCTTTTGTCTTTGTAAGAGAATATACAAAGTAAAGCCTGTCAAAATCTTCGTGGCTGGAGGAACATAGAGAGCATACAGTCGGGAGAAAAACATCACAGAGCATATGGGCATTAATTAAAAGGTGGAGAAACACAGGCCTGATGATTGAAGCATTTCTCTTTAGAAATCTGGTAAGAAGAAGAAATCTAAAGCTTTCTTCCTCCAGCATTAAATTAATTTCTAATTCCTGGCTATGAAGTAGGCACAACAAAGAGGAAGTATATATTTAATTATGGAAGTATGGACATATTTTTTTAAAATGCTGCTGACTCTTGGCTCTGAATATATCTTACCAATGTCATTCTAGCCTCTTAATCATCTTCATTGCTACTGTCGCCCACATCTTTAGGGGCAGGAACCTCAAACAACTATATGAGGTAGAAACTTCTAGATTTGCCTCACAATCAGGAGCTAAGTCTCTTGGCAAGGGGAAGAGGAAAGCTTAGTGTTACTGTTTTAAGTTGTGTTAACTGATGGTTACAGCTGGTATGGTGTGAGACAGAAAATTAGATAGTCTGTCCCATGCCCAGAAATGCATATTGATAAACACAAATTTACCCCAACCAGGATGAGGCAGGAGAGGACAGACAGAGAATGAGTATTTAGGCTTTATCTTAGACCAAGTGCCTACCTGCTTTTCAGCATCTATCTATCTATCTATCTATCTATCTATCTATCTATCTATCTATCTAGTCCTGAGATGGCCTATTCAAACGACTAAGCTAACAATGTTGCACACAGCGTGTTCGTGAACAGTGTACCCTGTAGGTGTAAAAACTTGGCTTTGTTTTGCCCTTGCTCACGAACAAAAGCTTCTTGTTTGTTAGCCTCCCAAATGTTCCTTGCCATTATGCAGAAGTACATTAATTTTGAAACAAAATAAATTATGTACAGTTTTGAAACACAGAATTCAAAGAAAAAACCATACACTAAACACATACACACAATGAAACTGACATTTTCCTGTTCCTTCTTCTGTGTCTCAGAGTTATAGCCAACACCTGTGGCCACACAAGGGGCAGACTTTGCAGCTGCAAGGCCCAGATGTCAGACACTGGATTGTGCGTCTCTGGCAGCAGTCCTAAGTGGGAGGTCGTCTCCTTAACTGACCTCTGAAATGGTCTATTGTCTGCTTCCCTCTCTGGCCTGGGTTGTAACTAACAAGCTGTCTGTAGGCTGGTTTGGGGTTAGCGTACTGATGGGGCTGTTCTGGATGCAATTATCCTTTGCCTTACCTTTGATTGTAAGGAATTTATTTCCTTTGCAGGGGGGCGAAAATTGGGACTGGGAAAAGTCTTGACAAAGAACTATATTCAGGTTTCTTCCAAGGACAAAATAAGACGCTTTTTACTTTTTCCCCCCAACTGAAATTGGATGAGATCAACTTTACGTTTTAGCACACAGTTGAGTTTTGGTTAATCAGAAGTACAAAGAGTTTCTTGGGGGTACTTCCCCCCTCTGAAAGAGGACTGAGTTTCCTTATGCCACTTCTTAAAACTATTTCTTAAAGAAGAAACCGAAACATTTCTTTCCTTAGAATCTTCAGGAGGTACAACTTTGTTTTTGCTATTACTAAAAAAAGGCATCTACTCTAGAGAAGAAAAGCTCTTTGTATCATGCCTTATCCTGGTTCTTTAAAGAGTAAAATGATTACATACTCAAACCTTGCCTCTTCACCACCTGGTGATAACAACATCATGGCTCAGATGCAATCATGGGAATTCGGTAGGAAAAGGCCAAGTATCTAAGAGGACTCCACTTACAGTGCAACCCTCATAGCCCCAAAGGGAAGGCCTATTGTGAATACAGTTATAACCATGGCACGTTAAGGAGAAATACGTCTGATATTTATAGGAAAATGAATTCTGAGGAAATTATAGAATATATTACCATGTCCAACATCAAATGGTATTCATATACACCATGTGAAATGTTCTACATTTTCTTTATTAACTTTTATAAAAATGTAAATATATCCCTTGGCCACCAATGATTTAGATTGGAGTCCCAATATAAGAAAGTAAATGACTGATAAATAGATAAATAAATAAATTGGAGAAAAAAGACATCTCTCTCATAGAGAAAAATTCCAAATATTTACATGGCTACTAACCCTTCAAGAATGTGGAGAGTCGTCCCCTACCCCTTCAGGGTGGGCTGTGCTTTCTGATTCAATTCCAAAGAGGAGTATAAAGAGGGGGGAGGGGCAGATTACCTCACAGTGGAGAAACCTGGCCAACACCACCTCAGCCACTTGACAAAGGTTAACATCAGCAATAGTCATGTTGATAGCAGGCACCTGTGATATGATATGATCTCACTGAAGGGCATGTCACCTTTGTAATATTTCTCCAAAATCCCATAACCATAGTCTAACCATGTGAAAACATTAGCTAAACCCCAGGTGAAGGACATTCCACAACACATCTGACAAGTACTCCATAAATCTGTCACAGTCACTAAAATAAATGAAGTCTGAGGACCGTCACAGCCTAAAGGGGCCTAAGGATGGCTGAATATGGTGTATGACACAGAACAGGGTGCCGGAGGGAAACAGGACACTGGGAGAAACTGTGAAATTTGAATGGAGTGTGGATTTTACTTAATAGCAGTATCTGGTTCCTTAGTCATAGCAAATAGGGGAAACTAGGTGAGAGGTATATGAAGATTTTGCACTATTTCTGTAAACCTAAAAGTATTCTAAAATCAAAAGTTTATTTAAATTAAAAAATGATGATTAACCTATTACAACATTGACTTTAACAGAGTTCCCACACTTCAGTGAATACATTTCCTTCTCTCTTTTTTCAGCCACACCTACCTACCAAAGCATATGGCATAACAGTCATTTCCCTGTCACATATGAATACTTTACCTTTCAGTCCACTGTAGTATGAATGCAGTCAGACCTATTCTGAGAGTTTTAGATTTCCCAATACTATTTACACGGTGGCCTTAGTAATAAGACACAGTGCTCAAAGGATCATGTCCACGAACCTAGATTTTTCAATGGCTTTGAAAGATGTAACATCCTTCTGCTACCTATAGAGTACGCTTAAATTTCATGTGAATGGTATTAGTGCATGATTAATAAGACAATGTATTAATCTCCAAAGGTAACATATTCTCTGCTAGATTACCAAGAGCAGTGTTCATTTACTGATCAATTTTTATGATTGATAGGGTAAGGGGGTAAGGTCTGATGAACCACTGTTTTAGAAAAAGAATGAGATTCTTTCTTTGCTACTCCCTTTCTTTCAGAATTATGAGAAATCAGATCTCTCCAAATTTTAAAAGATATTTCTTTCATACTGTTTTTCAATTGATCATTTTGTTCTGAGAAAGGGAAAACAGTGGTGGTATCAATGAATGTTTATCTAAAAAAAAAACAAACAAACCTAGAGTGGAGTTTCTAGAATTGTTTGATAAAAACTGTGCTTTTGTTAACATGGAAGGATACAATTTTAAAAGTTCAATTAATCACAATTTAATTGGCCAGAATAAGAAATTGGTCATAATTGCCTCTCCAATTCTGTTTTTAGGAAAGGATGCAAATGCCATTTTTAAAAAGCTGGAAAAAATACAACTTCCTGCATATGTTTTAGGGATAGAAATCAGATTCAGTAAAATCACTTGTACATTCCATACCTACAGTACTTTATAATGATAACTTGTTAAGAGGAAAAAAACATGATGCTTGATAATAGGGGGAAAAGTGTTCCCTATGGAATTCTCAACTGAGGAACTACAGAAGAGTCAGCCAACGTGTTTTAGGAATATTTTTTGTAGTGTTTAGTACTTAACATGGAAAAAATAATGGGTGGGAGGGTTGTACAATAAATGTAGCAGCTATTTTTTATATTACCCATTAAGAAGTTCAGTGAATACCTATTTTGAGTTTCATTAGACTATGGTTTGTTTGTATGTGGTTAAGTTCCCTTCCCCAGAACACTGATGACGTGTCAAGCTTTGTACTGCTAGGCATTTGGCACGTGCCATCTAAAGCCTGATGCGAGCCTGCAAGGTGCACCCAGTTACTATCTAACAAACACGGAACTAAAGACACCAAAGTCGGGGGCTGACTGACTCAAAGCCTGGAAGCGAGGGGCCCACTACAGACTCTGTGTGCCTGCTTCAAACGCTCCACCTCCTTCCCACCACAGCATGCAGCTTTGTTATAATGTATACTGTCACTATTAATACTAGTCAAGTAAATGTTTATTTACCACTAATTAGGTGACGTAAGTCACTTAACCTTTCTAGGCTTCAAGTTTCTCTTGGGTAAAATGGAGTTGGCTGGTTGATTCCTAATGTTTTCTTCCAGTTTTAAAACAGCAACACTGATTTATACACAGGATAAGAAAATTAAAATGGCCATTTCCACAATGTTCCTTTTAATAATAGGTTATTAACGCTGGTGCTTGCTACTAAAGTCTGTGATGATGGGACCTCTCTACGGATGTTCGCATGACTTCTCTCGATTCTCTTCAGTCCTTCAAAACGACACTAGTGAGTAACCTTACCATTTCAATGTTATTCCTTAAAGCCTACATATAAGAGGAAATTTCATATTTTCTATGCTACACAAGCTACTTAAATATTTACTTCCCAAAGAATCAATAACTTGCATTCAGACATGAATAATGCAGACAAAATAATTTTTCTGAATCTGAAATTAATTAAAATATCAGTTTATTTTAATCATATTTATTTAAATATAACAATTTTAGGCAAATTAAAATATGTATCAGCATATTTATATAACATAGTAGACAAAAATATAAATGAAATGTATAAGTATTTGAGGCAAAATTTAACACATATTAGCTAAATTGATGACAGGCTTCATTTGGCTTTAAGGTACATTAACATGGGTATTAAGGATGGGCTTTCACAAAAAAGTGCTGTAAAACATTCCCATTTGTTTAGTAACAAGTCACATTTCCTAGACTGATGTTTTATGAAACTATGTAAAGATCTAATTTAACCATTTACCTTGGTGGTAAAACTATTTGTAAGTGACACACATTTGGGGCAGTAGAAATGTGTATCTTTTAAATAACATAGCTTTTTTATCAAGAACATGCCACTTTTATTAAACAAACATGCATAACACATTAAAACTTGAATAATTCATGTACCTTTATGCACAGTGTTCAGTTTTGCTATGGTACTCTATCTTCATGAAAAATATACTTAGAATTTGGCACAGAATTAATAAATCACATTGCTACTATACAGAACAAATGGGATCAAATTTTACATGGCACGGAAAACACTATCACAGTTTATTCCCTCTGCAGTTTACTGACCCGTGGCAGTTCTCGGCTGTTTTAGTTGGAATATATAATGGATATTCAAGAACTGAAAATCGTATCTAGGTGTTCTGCCTGTGCTCCAGTTGGAAATGAGTTGCTTTCAGTTTTTCTAGCAGTAAAACGCTTCCATCTGTACTGTGGCCAACGGGTTTCTAAATGAGGGTGTTGTCAGCAGTAACCTGCAGCATCCTGAGATGTTTTTCTTTGGGAGGCAGAGAGGTGGAAAGGAAGTGTGGATTCTCTTCATATCGGGGGACATATGTGGTTGGGGGAATAAATGCTAACCAAGGCAGAAGCAGGAAAGTCCTTCAGGAAGCTGGTGAGGAAGAACATTCTGGAGGAGCATCGGGCAGAAAACAAAGGCAGGAGCACAGGAATCATTCAAGGTGCAAAGAAATGCCATGGGTTTAAGGAAACGGAAATTTATCACACAAAGAAACAGCATCCAGAGCGTTCCTGTTATAGCACTCTTATCAGCAAACTCCCCCTGCTTTAAAAATTATTTTTTCATTTATTGATTTTAGAGAGGAAGAGAGAGTAACATCCATTTCTTGCTCCACTTACTGATGCGTTTAATGGTTGTTTCTTGTACGTGCCCTGACTGGGGATCAAACCCACAACCTTCGTGTATTGGGATAGTGCTCTGTCTAACAGACTGAGCTTCCCAGGCCTGACAAGTCCCCCTGCTTTTTAGGGCAAGTTTTCAATTTCCACGTCAGAGTCTATATGGAGACTGAAGAAATTCAGGTTAACTGGTGATAATTTTTTTCTGAACTCATTCATAAACACTTTGGAAGAAGAAAGAATAATACTGATTCAAGCTTCCTCCAAACCAGAGAAGGGAGTTCACACTCGCTCTCAGGATGGACTTGACTTGTAGAAACCAAGGAAAATGCCTTGAGGGTGCGAATGCTCTGAAGGTTCCTCTTCATGGTTCTTCTAAGATCAGTTTGAGGTGTTGTATTTTGAGGGCCTGGTTGAAGGACCCTACTCCTTTCATAAAACTATGATTGCCTAATTTTCATATTTGTTATTCACGGGAAAGGAAGTAAAACTTAGGTTCCATTTTATACAAATATACTTTATTCTGAAAAACAGAGCAATGAACGTAATGTTACTTTCTTTCCTTTACAATCCTCGTTTTTCCGAGGGCCTTTGGACAGTGAAGTGGCAACAAACATCAAACAGCTTAAACACATGGGCAAATTTTTGTCTTAAAGCTTAAGATACAAACAAACATAAAAATTATAAATCACAGAGCACTGAATTTTCAAGAGTAAAGTCATACCAGAATCGTGACAAGTTTTCGCTGACGTCATAGGTGAGTAAGTGGTCTGGAAGGTCACTGACAGTGCCCTGCACGGCCAGCACGTGCGGGGCCAGGGTGAAGGGCACATCGCTCAGAAGCTCGGCCATTAACGAGCTGTTCTCCAGAGTCTGGCCTGCCTTATTTTCCGCCTCGGGGCCTGCTACAGTCACACTGGATGAGTCTTCTTTGCCAGTCTAAAAATATGCATACATTCAAATCATTTAGACCTCATGGACATGGTAGCTTAGTGATGGTAAGTGTGGCACAAACATACCAAAATCATTGAGAAATGGGGGACTATAGAAATATTCCCAGATTAGAATGTAGCTACTTGCTTTACTTGAGAAATACATCCATATCAAGCTCCACTACACTTTGAAATGAATCCTAAACCCTAATGTAACTCAGAGTGACCATCCTTGAGCCCCTCAAATACAAACTGGCATTCTTCCTATTTCCCTAGCCCAGATAATGTCTGCAAAGTCTGTCTCTGCTTTTCCAAACCCAATCTACACTTTCAGGCTCTACAGAATTACCAGATTCCCTGTGATCTTATAGCAACACAGTCCAAAGTGACCTTGCCCACTTCAAAGTGCTTATGGAGCAAATTGCCTAAGATATTACTTGGCACTTCCTTTAGGTGTCCTTGCTAGTTGCTGTTTCATAGACAAACCTCTTATCCCCAACTAGACACCAGGGTCCTTGAGCACAAGCCATCTAGTTGACATTTCTTTGTATTTTCTGCTTTGCATACTTGACTGCCTTACTCTAACACATCCTGCAGAGTTGACCGCTAATGTGTACTGTGAGCATTGGTGGACTGTCTGACTTTCCTGGGAACTAAATTTACTTAAGCTGTTCAGACACAAGGAATTGATATATCTTGTTCAATTTCTTTAAAATTGGTATATCTTGCATACAGTAGTTTATCAGAAGACATGAGGTAGGTGGTACACAGCAGCACTCTTTGTAAGCCCTAAAGCGGAATCTCCCTAAGTATCCATCATCGTAGAATACATAAACTGAGGTATAGTTACAGCAGTGAGAATGAACCACCTGCCACTAAAGTGGCTGAAAACTAAACAAAATTTCATCCTCCCACCCCACCGGGTCTCACGCAGAATAAAGCGCCAGAGTCTCTGCAGAGGCCTGTCGAGCCCTCGGTGCCCATGTCCCCAGCTAGGCCGTCAGCCCCCGCCTCTGCAGGCTCACTGCCTCCTTGCCGTTGCCAGTGCGCAGCCAGCCTGTTTCTGCCTCAGGCCGCCCCTTCCAGTCCGCTGCCCAGGCGGTTCTGTTCCCTGATATACACTGAGCTCCTTCCCGCACCTCCTTCCAAGCTGGCACCCGAGGTTAGCTTCTCAGTGAGGCTTTTCCTGGCCGCTTATTTAAACTGTCTCCGGCTCTGCCACCTCTTCTACTCCAGCACTCCCTGTCCCGTCTCTGCTCTTTTCCTCTCAGAGCTCTTAGCACCTTGTTCTATGTTATACGGTTCATTCTGATTATAATCCCTGAGAAGCTCAAGAAGGTTTTGTCTCTCATGTTCACTGCTGTATCCCAAAATGCCCAGGTCAGTGCCTAGTGCTCAATAAATATTAACTGATTGGATAAAAGCAGACAAGATTTTTGCCTGTGTGGGATTTACATTATAACAGTTATACATGCTGATGAATTCTTTTTTTAGATTAAAAAAGTTATTTATTATTTTGTTTTAGATTTTAATTTATCTTTAGAGGGGAAGGGAAGGAGAGAGGGAGAGAAATATCAATGTATGCTTGCCTCTCATGCATCCCCTGCTGGGACCTGGCCTGCAACCCAGGCATGTGCCCTGACTGGGAATCAAACTGCGATCCTTTGGTTCACAGGCCCGGGCTCAATCCACTGAGCTACACCTGCCAGGGCTTATGCTGATAAATTCTTTATCTAAGTCTAGAGAAGAATTATTTTCTGTGTAAGAAGTAATTTTTTAAAAACACTTTTTATGGAAGTGTAAGATATACACAGGAAGGGGACATCAAAAGTTTAACAGCTTGCTAAATTTTAACCAACTGAAACACCTGTGAGCAGCCAGCACCCGATCAAAAGGCCCTTCGGGTGCTCTTTCAGTCACGAGGAGCATGGGCCTCTGTCCCATCACTGTCCTGACTGCTGACAGCATGGACTGGTTTTCCCTATTTTTGTATTTTAAGTGAAGGTAATCACACGGCATGGACTCTAGTTTCTGGCTTCTTTCACTCGACATTATATGCAGGAGATTGTTGCATGTGGGAGTAAAAAGAGCACATTGTTGCGAAGGAGATATACTCAGACTGATGTCTTAAAAGGGTCACTTTGGTTGCTTTGTTGACAGTGTGCAGCAGAGGGTTCGGTGGCCAGGTTGGGAAGCAGGGAGACCAGCTAGGTCAGAGAGACGGCTGTGATGTGGGTCGGGGTGATGACAATAAAGGGGAGATGAACGGATGGATTTGGGGCAGACTTTCAGGGTGAGGCCAACAGGATCTGCTGATGGAATGGATGTGGGGTACGAGAGCAAGAGTGTTGCCAAGGATGAAGTCGCAGTTCTGGGCCTATGTAGGAAGATCAGTAGTTCAGTTCTGGTCATTCCAGGTGCCTGACATCCAAGTGGAGCTGTTAAGAGGCAGCGGGATCTAATGCGAGTCAGAGCTGGGTGAGAGAGATCTGGCAGAGAAGGTCTTCTTGGTGTGTGTAAAAGGGTAGGGAAGGACGAAAGTGAAGACAAGTCCGGGAACTGACAATTCTTTGAAGACATTATGCTTTAACACAGGAAAAGAGATATGGGCCAGCCGCTTAAAAGGAATGTGGGGTCCACTGAGGTTTCTCTTCATTTTATTTTCTGTTTCTTATGTTGGGAGAAAGGATGGCAGTTCACATACTAATGAGAAGACGGTCAAAGAAAGGAAAAATCAGTGGAGATCTGCAGAGGAGGAGCTGCTCTCATCACAGGCACCGCCTCCACGGAGAGCAGAGGCCCTCGGGGAAGGCTGGAAGTGCGTGAGCACATCCCTGGCCAGGGCGGTCTGAAACCTGGTGTGAGAGTGAAGCACCAGAGGACTTTCTCAGGATTTCGAAGAGAACAAAAGGAACCACACCCTGTTATGACAAAGCTGATTAGGAAGGTCCATTATGCAGTGGACAGCAGCTGCCTAGTGAAACCTAAATGCGACTTTAATAAATAGCACAGGCATCGGTGCCTAATGAAGCCACAGTCCCAGCCTCTGTGAAGGGCTTCACCACGTGCCGGTGTCTCCAGGATTAAGTACGTGCGCCAGGGCTCGGTTACCATGGAGCAGCAGGGCCGAGTGGTTAAGAGCACAGAGTTTAGAGCTCTTGCAAATCCAAGGTCTCCCGCTTATTAATAATAAGCAAACGGCCTTGGACAAGTTCTTTACCTTCTGTTTCCTTGGCTGTATAATGAAGTCAATGATAGTAGCTGTTTCACAGGATTGTTATGAGGATTAAATAATGTTCATGAGTAGAACAGTGCTCAGCATGTATTAAAGTGAGTAAAAACTTTCAGAGTGTCAGCCCCCACTTGGCTTTAGATAAAGACTCGATCTGTTCATCTCTTTGTTTTTGGCATTCACTGGCGGTTCGAATCATGGTAACCTTCCCCTCTCCTGTTAACCCTCTTCATCTCAGGTGCACGTCTCCCCTGGATCTGTTAGTCTGGTCCCAGGCCTGAACTTTCTCCTCCTCCTTCCTTGTGTACAGAATGCTGTCCCATTTCACTAGCCAAATCACCTTCCTTCTTAAACAAAAGCATTCTTGAAATCTCACCTTCTCCCGTAAGGCACTTTGCTTTCTAAACACAAAACTTGTAAGGTTTAACTTTCCTGCAGCAATATTTATTTCTTTGTTCATGCTTTCACTAATCCTCCTCCCTTTCCTTTGCAAATAATTCTTCCAGAACATAATTCCTTGAGGACAAGACTGCTTCGAACTATATCTAGAATAATAAAGGAATTGAGATGTGGTTTCTTATTCAAGTTCTCCCGATAAAACAGCTGTGTGAACAGAAGGAGGTTACTTTATCCACCCGGGCCTCAGGTCTCTCTGCTATAACTTGAGTGATGAGGGACCGATGATGATGATGACAGCAGCAACTATTATATATAGATTACTTACTGTGTGCTAGGGTCCATCTAGCCTCTTTAAATGTATTTGCTCATTTAAGTCTATAGCTCTGTGAGGTGTGTACGGTTATTATTAACCCCGGGCTAAAATCCAGAGGATGCCGGGCACAGAACGGTTCAGGACGGTGGTGCAGGTCCCACAGCGGGTCTGCGGTAAAGCTGTGGTCTCTAATGCTCTGATAAATACATTGTGCGTTCCTTCACATGTCACACATACTTTGGACAGACTGGCTGGCTGGACGAACAAAGCCTTGAAAATTTAGGGAACAGTATTAAAAAATATGACAGTTCCTAATATAGTATTATCCCAGCTTAAATTAGAAGGACAAAAGACTCTAATTATCTTTTACCTTTAAGAAGAAAGGACAGAGTCATTAAAGTGACCGATCATCGACTGAAGGACAGAAAAGCCACTGAAATTTAGCAGATATGTTTCCCTGGGAATGAACCTACCAGGAGCCAGTTAGGGAAACACCATGGACGGTGAGTTGGCCATTGCCTTTGATCATTGTTGAAACGGAGAAAAGGAAGTTTACAGGGGGTGGGGGGCATTACAGTGTCCTTTCTGCCTCTGTATATGTTTGAAAACTTCCCATAATAAAAAGTTTCCAAAAATTAAATTAACTTTAAAAATACCATGTTCAGGGTGTTGAGCCAAATGCCTCCTAGAAGGATCTGAACTCAGAAGTGCTGTGCACACTACTCCAGTGCCTACCTCCTAACAGTTGGCTGGAGTGCTGTGTTACCGTCTCCAAGGAGGCCGCCTGCCCCCTTGGCAGCAGGGTGAGCACCATGATGCAGCTGCTGCTGCCACGCTGAGAGCTGGAGAGGGGAAGTTACAAGGCAGAACAAGAGTAAGTCACAAAGAAAATGTGAGTCAAATTCAGGGACCCCGCACCCAGTCACACTGAGCTCTAAGTCTCTCGCTTGGCAGCCAGCGGATGCAGAGGTGAGGGCTGAGGGCCGAATGGTGGCTGGGCTCCCCTGTCTCTCTCTCTTAGACATAAAGTCTTTCTAGTTTTCTCATTTGTATAATAAAATGG